CTCATGCTTTTCTTAAGCTATTGCTATTTTCATGGCCCCATGTAATTATCTCTGGGTGTACGGAGGCATTGCATGTTTGGCGTATGGAGTGGTAGCAACTACCTTAATCTTATGTTGTACTACAAAGAAGATGAAATGCAGTGATTGAAGCACCTTCTCATAAGGAGCTGTAAGGGTAGTATTATCAATCTCAGGTCGGTGATTGCTGCGTAGCAGACTTTAAACTCCATTAGGATGCTACTTATCATGCACCTAGATGTCTCTCTCAGCTATGGTGGTGAAACTCTTGATTAGCACAAACCGAAGTGACCGTTTAAGTTTACATAGGAGCCACATCAAGGCACTGAGCAGCAATAGCGATTCACGATATTTGAGTGGGTATAATGAAACCCTGGATAAGGGATCTGATGTTCTTAGCAAAATAACTTCCTCACCTAATTTTCTGCTACATGAAATAACTTAAAAGTAAGATTATTTCAATGAAACAATGGTCCATAAGTGTCATGCTCAAATGAAAATACGGCATAGATAGTCGATTTCATTAGAGTTTGGGGGAATTCGAAAGTGGAATATTGAAACAGCGTTTGATGAATGTCGTTTGGCTCATGCGATCTTATTTGTCTGATTTTGATAGTGTTGGTTGGAACGTCAACGGCGAGATCCGTACGTGCGACAGGCGCGAGTACAGTCGTATCGGTGTCGTAGTGCATTCAAACTGTTGCAGATGAACAAGATGGTAGGCAGCGGTGGGTTAATCAGGCCAGGTGCGGTGGTGGTGGATTGCGGAGCGGCGCCGGGCTCGTGGACTCAAGTGGCAGTGGAGCTTGCCTCGCCTGGCGGCACCGTTGTGGCCCTCGATCTTCTTGACTTTGAGCCTGTGCCAGGCGCGCACTGCCTGGCCCGCGTCGATGTCCGCCAGACTGCTCAAGTAATCCACCGCGTGCGTGAAGTCCTCGGGGCTAATCATTGCGTTGACATCGTCCTCAGCGACATCGCACCTCCCGCTTCCGGGTTAAGCGATATGGATCACCTCAATCTCATTCACCTTGTTCATTGTGTCCTTCAGGCAAGCAATTGACGTCTTTTTTTGGATTTCTTTTCACTTTTACCTGAAACCAAAATTAACACCGTGTTTTTCAGACTT